CCCCCCCCCCCCCCCCCCCCTTCACTACGCCACTGGTGAGGACGACAAATCTGGAAAAGTGCTGTTGAGTCTGCTAAAAATGGAGCATGATTTGAGTGCAAACCGTTTGTCGAACTGATCAGTCATCTTACATTATTGGAATCTGGGTTATCGCTGTGCTGCCGAAATTACCCGCGAACGAATATCCCGTCTGTACTCTCCGGTATAATATGGCAGAGATTCAAGAGCGAGGCACCGTGGAGTATCGGGGTGGTAATGGTCGATCTCGTATGATAACGCCCGAGGACAGTATTGCGGTCGGTAGGTGGATTCGAAAGAACAGCGAGACAACGGCGGAAGAAATTGTCAGAAAATTGCCAGAGAACAGAGGCAGGCATGTGTCCAGACAAGGGTTACCATACGCCCGGTTTTTCTCGGACATGTCCTCTTTTTTGACCTTCAAATTTCCGTCCGGGTAGATTTTTGAGAAGTATTGAATTTGTCCAGGATTCATCCTCCGGTCACCAATATTCAGATTTTTTTCGGACCTGGCAACATTGGTGTGACGACACGTCCGTTACGTCTCCTGCTTCCTATTCCCTCCATTTGGAGTCTCTCCTCGAGACTTCATGGTCACAACCTCGTCTTCGCATTCCGTGGTGAGAGTCAGCAGGTTTCACATCTCAAATTTCTTCAGCTTCATCGATGTTTTCATCGGCCATTTCAAGTTCTTAGTGAACGAAGTAAGATACTTCATATAAGCTGCTGCGCAGAAACTAGAGCGCCACCTTGAGTCGCATGGTTTGCCAATGTCGAGCCCCTTGAGTCCCATGCCCCTTAGGAAACGGAAGTATAGAAACAGCAAATCGCCGATAAAGATTAGGTACTTCATCGGCGCTCCTCAAAACCAGCCTTTGAGGTGCATGTGCATCTTCGACAGCGAACGTGTTGCTGCACTGTGAAGCTCCGTGAGCGTTTTTTTTTTCGCTTAAATTTATGCACATTGTGGCCAAGAAATACCTTACAAAAGCTCTGTGACTTACATTTTTTTAAGTAATTAAAATAATTTATACTTCATAGTATACCACATACTGATGAGTTTTAGAGAGACAATATTCACATCTGGTTTAAATATTAAAAATAATGTTGCGTACACCGTAAAAAATAAAGGTTCTTGAGTGAAACATTTATAGAACCATTTTCGTTGAAGAGATTATACTGATTCCAGAAGCTACCTCGATCTTAGATCGTTAACAAGGCAGAACATGAACGCTACGACCTAGGACAGTCAGACGATCACTCCAACTGGCAACTATTACGCACATTTAGTGAAAAATAGTTCTACTCTCTAAAAGTAAAGGTTCGGATTGGAACCATTTTCGATTAAACATTTATAGAACCATTTTCGGGGAATCAAGCCTACAAGAGCTGAAACTGCTTAGCTCTTGGAGTTACCAGGATCTGAGGACTTTGACACGCCAGATGATCAATTCTACGATCTGAGACATTCACATGATCACTCCCACGAATAACTATTAAGCAAAGATCGTGAAAAAATGGTTCTAAGGATCACAAAATCTAGATTCTTGCCGAGCCCCATCCTTAATGGT